CGCCCCCCATTATCTCTTCTCCTGGTCGGTCTATTTGAATAAAATAAACACTCAACTGAGCAGAAATGAACGACTAATGAAATAAAATAATTACACTTTGATTGAACACGGGGTAGATTTTGTTGGAGTTACGTAGGTTTTTTGTTTCGACTCACTGATAACAACTGACCGATGCTGTTCGTCAGCTGAAATGTTTTGTCGACCAGTAGAGGTGGGCAAAATTGGGATAAATATCCGGATAATCGGATAATCCTCAATACGACAATATCCGAATTCAGACTCTTAACTCTCTTTCCGGACCCGTCTGCCGAAGTTGGTGCATCCATTTGTTGAAGTTATGCTAGGCCTAACCCGTTCGTCATAGTGGTTCCAACCCATTTGCCGAAGCGGTTCATGACATATTATTTGCAGAAGAGGGGCACTTACATATTATCCGAATTTTATTAAAACGACTCATTGCCCAGCCCTAGTTCTTAGATTTCCCTCTTCCAACTCAAACAAGGCATCGCAAAAACACATGATGCTTAAAGAGAGCACGACGGTTCTTCTTTTCCTTAGTTTTCTTTAAGCACCCCAACGCAACACTCCAAAAGAAAACACGATCTCCTTAGAGCCACTGCCGGCATCTCCATACACAGTGTTTACATGTTTCCCTCTTCTAAACAGAAGAGAGACCAGGCCTGCTGTGGGTTTCAGCGGCCTCCATCTCTCTCTTCACCATTTCCCCTCCCCCCTCCCCCCCTCACCACCTTTCGTGTTACTCATTACTCATCCCTGGAGTCGGCTTCATGCAAGCAACAGCAATCAACTTAACCTTGGACTAAGTTAAAGACTAACCCCCCCCCCCCAGTTCCCTCTCTCAACCCCATCGCTACCTATTCCCGGTGACTTCAGACCCTTTGCTATAGCTGTACACTCACTCAAACCCACTCAGACACACTTACACAGGTACACTTATATACTCACACTCATACAAACGTATACACTCACAAACATAACACAGCAATCACACACAAACACATGCACATACTCATTCTCACATACATGATCATACACATACATGCACACACTTACATAATCGCACTCACACACACATACAGACACATACGCCATGCACACACACACATACAAACAAATAAATACCCCC